CTTGTAAACAGCAGACAGTCTTGACTGCCAGTTTGACAGTCTTTGCCTTTTAATTGGAGATTTTAGTTCATTTACTAAATCATTAATAATAATACAATTATTGATATGGCTGAGTTTAGGTTTATTATTTTTCTATTTATTTTTATTGATACCTACTGTTTTTTTTGTTTCTGTTATTTCTTTCTTGTCATTTTTTTGTATTAATCTATTTTTTTTTGTATTTTATTTTAATTACTCCTATGACACTCTAGCTATCCAATTTTTGTATTTGTCTTTAGTGATTTGTTTTATGGGTATTATACTATACATCCTTCACTTATCACCAGCCTACTTAGATTTAATATCATACCACTTCATATAAAATGTAAGAACCTTGCAGTCAAGAGAAAAGGTTGCCTTCTCTTATTCTCTGTGTTATGTTGTGATATATTTTACATCTAAATACATCATGAATCCCACAAAACAATATTTTATCTTTACATTAAACAATCTTTTACATTTACACGTATATTTATTTCCTGTAAATACTTCCTTCTTGTAGGTCTGAGCTTCCATCTGATATTATTACCCTTCAATGGGGTAATAATAAATTTCCTTTATCATTTATCAAATTTCCTTTATCATTTATTGTGCAGGCCTACTGGAAAAGAATTCTCTCAAATTTTGTGTATCCAAAAATGCCTTTATTTCATCTTCCATTTTAAAAGATATTTTTGCTAGATTTAGAATTCTGGCTTGACAGTTCTTTATCTTTTTTTAGTTTTTCAGCACTTTGAAGATGTTTTTGCATTGTACTCTAGCCTCTGTAGTTTATGATGGGAATCCTTCAGTTAATTGTTTCACTGTTTCCTGTATACAATATGTCTTTTTCTCTGGCAATTTTAAAGGTTTTCTCTTTATTTTTACTCTTTAGCAATTTTACTATAATATTTCACAATGTGATTTTATTTTTATTTATCCTACTAGGGGTAATTGAGCTTCTTATATTTGTAAGTTAATATTTTCGTCTAGTTTGGGAAGCTTTCGGCTATTATTTCTTCAAATATATATGTTTTCTGATGTGTTTAGCTCTGTCCTCTTTCTGGGACTCCAATTACATGTATATTAGACTACTTGATATTGTTCCATAATTTGCTGAGGTTCTGTCCATTGTTTTTTAACCTTTATTCTTACTGTTCTTCGTATTGGATAATTCTTATTGGCTATCCAGTGAATTTTTCATTTCAAATATTGTACTTATGAGTTCTAGAATATTCATTTAGTTCTCCTTAACAGTTTTCATGTCCCTGTTGAGATACCCTTTTTTTTCAGTCAGTATGACCATGTTTTAGTTCTTGACTAAAAATTTCAGCATCTTGGTCATCTCAAATCTGTTATAGTGACAACTTTTTCTCTTGAATGTGGACCACATTTTTCTTTTCCTTCACATATCCTTTAATTTTTGATTAGATAATGAATATCGTAAATAATAGAGACTGTGGATTCTGTTTTCTTCCTTTAAGCAGTGCTGAATTTTTTGTTCCGTCAAGCAACTAAATTACTAGCTGATCATCTTGAACTTGTGGACGTTTAGCATTATGTTATATTTTGTTATGATATGTTTTGGCTTTGCCCTTAGTTTAGCATGAATCCTTTACCAAGAGCCTCTAACTTGAGTGGGATTCGAATTCCAAACTCTATAGGTAGTAATTATAGGTAGTAGGCAGCAGCTGAAATCTGTGCTCAGCTTTTTCAGCTCTCTAGCTTTTCCACTGGGGTCACTGGCATCTCCTCCACACACAGGCAGTTTAGGGGTCCTCCAAGGATTGAGGGGACTTTACACACAGACCTGGAGCTCTCTTCTCCAATTGGCTTTCTCCCTTTTGGAATTTCCTCCGTTAAATTCCAGCCACTCGGGTAGCTCTGCGCTCCATCCTCTGCCACTTCAAGCCAATATGATTGCTGCTTTCTCCTTGAGTAGTTGCTCTTCACGGATTCGGGAGTGCCCTCAGTGAAGAAGCTGTATAAATGTAGATCTCACCCCATCCACTTTTCTTCTTTTAAGGATCCAATTCCCAACATTTTTGGCCTTCTTTTAGTTAGTCTCTAATGCCTTCAATTAGTTTTAAAAAGACTTTGTCCAGGGTTTATAATAGTTATCTGCAGGACAGTTAACCCAATATAAGGTCTTCCGTCATTATCATAACTAGTACTCAATGGGAATTCTAATTCATGTTTTGTGTGTGTGTATGTGCGCGCGCACGTGTGTGTGTGTGTGTGTTAAGAATAAACTACACTTGTCATCTTTATGAATACTCATAGTATCACTGAATAATGTATCCTTAAGGGATCCTTAGGTGTTATCCAGCCTACTGTGTCCTATCTGTCAATGATTGCCTAAAACTTACCATGATTAATCTGCTGCTTAATTAATCTCCAGTGAGGAAAGATTCTTTTTCAGGAAATGAGCTTGCTCTCTGGAGACTCCCAAGTTTGTACTTCAATTTAAACCTGTATAATGGCTTTCCATGTTTTACAGGGTCATGGAATTATACAGACAGAGGGCTGGCTGTATAGGCATTACGGAAGCAGAGTCTGTCCACCACACCGTGAATGTGGAAGCGGGTCTTTCCTAGTGCCTGTGTGTATGATATTGAGTTTTCTTTGCTTTGCTTCACCCCTTCAGCTCCCATGGAGCTCACCAATTTTTATCTGTTTTACTTAGGTTCTCTCCCCTTGTTCTATCTGCTGGCATCTGTACCCACCTGGTCTGGGCAGCCTGGCTTCTGCATTATTCTGATTACTCCAACCCTTGATGTTATGAGTTGAATTGTCCCCCCAACCCTGAAATTCATATGTTGAAATCCTAACATCTAGTATCTCAGAATGTGACCTTATTTAAAGACAGGGTCTCTACAGGGGTACTCACGTTAAAAAGCCTTTAGGGTGGGCCCTAATCCAATATATCTGGTGTTATTATAAAAAGGGACAATTTGGACATAGAGACATGCTTAGACCGAAGATGATATGAAGAGACACGGGAGACGTCCATCTACAGAACAAGGCACCAGGCCTGGAATGGACCCTCCCTTCACAGAAGAAACCAACCCTACTGACTCATGTAGGACTTCCGGCCTCCAGAGCTATGAGATGATGTGTTTCTGTGGCTTAAGGCACCCAGTCTGTGGTACTTTGTTACGGCAGCTCTAGCCAACGAATATACTTACCACTTAAAAGATAATCTGACCCCAGTTTTCACTTGATTCTGACTCTTGGCTCTGCTTTGTCTCCTAAGACTCACTGACCCCCTCAGTATGGTCAATGGGCAAAAAGCAAAATGTCTGAAGATTCATGTTCTACCATTTTCATTTAAGTTGAATGGCTTTTCTGGCCCTTAGAGTCCTTCTATATAAAATAAGGATATTGTCCCTGCCCTACCTATCTGTGTACCTAAACAAAGCTGAAATAAGGTACTGCTCAGAGAATGTAAAATGCTCACAGATCTAAGGCCCCCAGCGTCCTTGCTTTTTATTCATTACCGGCTCCTCCTCTTAACTAATTACAACAGAACCACTCTTAGAGGGCTCTCGGAGAGGCTCAAGTACAGTACTCTCCACATTTGAGAGCGATCCTTGCAACCTCAGACTTCATTTTTCCGATTTCTAGTTCTAGAGGCAGGTGAGGTGGTTGGCTAAGGAGTAGTGTTGCTTAAAGAGACAGGAGCATGGGGTGATGCTGCAAGCTTTTACAGTCCTCAGATGTCCAGAGGGATTAAAGAATTCCTCAGACAATGTATTTATTTTCATAAGGTACTGAAGTATGGAAACCAATTCTTTTAGAGAACAGGCTTTTTAGAAATGCATAAGGAAGAACTTAAAACTGCATTAACAAAATCGGCATCTACTGAAAGCAGTTTTAAAATTTGTGAAATTAAATGTAGGATGTAAGCAGTTTCCAATATATTTTGTATGCATCTTTGTCTGTTTAAAAAATGAGTTTGTTAATGAGAATTTGAAAAACTGTTTCTACAGCAATTAGCACTTTTATAAAATTATTTAAAAAAATCTTACTCCCAAAAGCTTACATTCTAGGTGTGTAAATTCTTATCCAGTCTCAAATGTTATACAGAAGAACCAAATTTTTAAATGTTTTTACCTTTTTCAGTTCTCTAAAATGCCTCCAGATGGCATTAAAACCCTTTTCTAATATTTTGTAGCACAAAAATTTAAAGATTAGTAATATTTTAATCATTTAACACTTGTCGCATTCATTATATCCTCAGAAATCATGACAATGTTACTATTTAGAACTTTTATGGTAATATATAAGAAAGACAAACATATAATCATATCCTCCATGAAACACACACAGCCACCCTATACAAGCTGAAAGATCTTTGTAGACTTGAGAAACAGAACTTGAACAAAATAAGACACTTAATAATATTATATCACAAACTATGATATCTAATGAATAGCATTTTAAATGCTTAGTAATTAAGAGTGCTGGTCCACATTAAGATAAATTCACAAAGGTGTCTTACAATAAGAAAACAAGTCACCCCTCAGAATGATAATGAAGATTTTCAAGGAGCAAACCTGTGACTCCCGTGGAGCTCAAATAATTTGTTAGCTGGTGAATTATTTAATTTAAACTTTGGTATATAAACTTGGTATCAAATTAATCATGAAAACATACTGGATTCCTTGAGTACTGAGAGGAAGAAGGCAAAATATAGAGCGAGGAACATGTGTTTTACAAGCGCCTCTTCTTATCTTTGAAAAACTGTGTTTGTTAATTGAGAATTATCAACAAAACTGAGATTCCAGGGATCTCCATAATTGTATTTTTCACATAATTCTGAGATGGCAGATGGCAGGCTTCACAAATGACCTTGGTACTTCACAGGTGTGCAGGCTAGAGTGGCTCCCAGTACGTGGGAGTTCTCCAATCATTTATGACAGTGATGAAAGTCTCTGGCCACATTCTGAGGGGTTTCCCTCCCTTCTCACTCCCCATACACATCCTCAAATCTATTACATTTAAATTTTATGAAGAGGAGCGTTTGTCTTTTCAAGATTATTCTCACTGTGCTAACACATAAGACCTCCAAAACCATGTGCGCTCAAAAGCATTTAAAAAGACATTATCATGAAAAAGAGAACTACGGCCTTCCTCCCATTATTATTATTATTACTATTACACGATACTTGCACTGTTTCATATCATAGGTACATTAAAGAACCGCCATCGCAAATAGAAATGGGAAAAGACTTACGATGTATTTGAGGTGCCATTGTCTGGACTCTCTGGCTCAGCATTACTTTTCTCTTAAAAAGGAAGCAGAAAAAAATACCAACAAGTGAGTGTTACTGTCTTTAAGAGTTAAGGGAGATTAAATATATTTCCATGCTCCTATTAACAATCTTTCTAAATGTGAAGCCGGAGGCTTTTCAAACATCTTTTTATTGTCTGAGAACCGGATGTGCAAAATCATTTCTTCTCTGTACTACGACTGCCCAGGCCTGGGTCTGCGAGTATGTACTCAGGAGCTGTTTGCAAACAACCAGAGGCTCAGAGTGCAGACCTCGCCAAAAGATGAATATCTTACAGATGGAACCTGTTTTCCTTCCACTTTGTTTTACAGAAAATTGGGGGATCAACCCCATTAGCATTCTACTTGCAAGGCATTCTGAACTTTGATCCTTTCTGCTAACATAGCCAAACCAGGTCTGGCTACATCAGAACTTGGTGGAGAGAATTTTACTGAGGTTGCAACATAGGTTATATGGTCCTCAAGAATTACACCCCACCAAGGGCCCTGACAGCAAGTTTTAGGCCTCCCTCTCCCAACCGAGTTAATACGTAGTAAGATGTAAACCAGAAATCCTTCCTGACTATCTGAGAGGTTAGGTGAGCAAATGTTTCTGGGGTCTGTGGTCATCAAGGATTTAATAGGATTTAATTAAGGGAGCTTGGAACCAGTTCACTTTTTGAAGTTTTAAAGGGCACATTCCTCTCACAATAAACGTAACTCTTAGGTCCTTGACCACTGGTGGTTTGAAGCATGCATCCTCATGTGTAAGATGCTTCTTTTTATCTCCTGGAGACCAGGGGATGAAAGAAGGGTCATGATTGTCAGTGTGAGTTGGCTGTGGTTATGATGGTTGTGTCGTCCTAATAGTTTAATAAAACCCAGAAAAGGCCATGGTTGTGAGAAATGGGCCTGATGGTGGCAAGCTGCTTTGCTTGGCTCTTTCGATTCAGGCCTGGAGATCTCACAGAATCCCCCAGTATGTGCTTTAGGCCCAGGCCTAGGCACCGTACCAAGCCCTTTTTGTCAGCTGTCAGCGTTAGCATGTGGTCACCTAGTCCCAGGAATGACTCCCTCAATCACATGAGGGTCACCTTCTGAAGATATCGTCCAAAGTGAACCCAGAAGTAAACTTGATAATTTCTTCTCTTTTTCTTTTAGAAAATTAAACAGTTGTGAGAAAAAAAGACAGATCTAGCTCACACATCTATCTCAGATATAACTCGGTGCTAACATGTGTCCACACAGCGCCAGAACCACCACGGACAGCCATTTTGTCAAAAAGCCACAAAATCTATTTAATTGCCTTGGTAACAAATACATATGAAACCACGATGACGTAAAAGTGGAGGCAGCAAATTAATAAACTTGCTTTAAAGCTCATACTTTTATGTTATGTCTTCCAGGCAAGGTCTGTGGTATACTCACTTAGGAGACATGTTAGGCCTCATCAAGTGGCTTTGGTGCTGGAAAATAGCCTAATTTAGTCCTTTCCAGAATCATTTTTCCACTGAGTAGCCACAATTCCTGCCAGAACCCCCAAATAGAGCTATAACACCTGCATTATGTAAGACAAAACTAAATGGAGGTTTAAAAGTCAACATATTGATCTTTTTCCCCCCCTTAGAGAAACGGGTTGCTTTCCCCATTCTGTAGTTGCAGGTAGTCACACCACACCCCATCGCAATCAAGGCTGTAAAACGGCCAGGCTTGTAGCAGCCGGCAATAGTAAACATCTCCAAACAACTTATGTCAAGAACATAGGGAATTGAGTCTATAAACAAAGATACTGTTTGGATGTTTGAATCAGTAAGTTTTACCTTGAGCAATAATGCTGTCAGAGAACCCACAGATTGAGAGGACACAGGCTCTTGGGACCTGGGGGCTGCAGGAGTCGTGGGCTGGTCCAGCTCAGGGACAAAGCTGCAGCTGATTAGCAGCACTTATGTTGTGGCAACAGGGAAAACAGTAGATTCTGGCAAATAGGAAGGACACCACGGGGCCAAACAAGACCTTTACGAACAGCCTGAGAGTGAGTGTTCGCAGCACCTCAGTGCTGACGATGAAGGAACGTTTCTGGGGAAAAGTAAGCACAGGACGGAGACAGGGATCCAAACTGTTTTTGTCCTTCGGGAAGAATGAAACACAAAATTCTCCCCAACATCTGGCAGTTTTAGGTGATGTAATTTCTGAGGTTCATGTGAAATGGTTAAGTGCCTAAGCCATTACAAATCATAATTTCTTTATCATGACCGAAGGGAAAATTATGCATGGGAGCTAGAAAATTCCAAGTTAAGAGGTTTTATTGTTGGGTGCTGAGATGTTTCTGTGCAGCCACCAAAGGAGGGCCGTCTCGGGTCATCCTTGTGATATCAGCTGTTTTCATGATGGATACAACACTGGTTTCCTTGGGGGGGCGGGGAGAGGGGAACTTGCACTGATCATGAACAAACTGGACCTAAGAGACTGGCCTGGGTACTGTGTGGTCATTTTACACGTGGAAATACAATTAGAGAGGAAGAGGGGAAAACACTGAGCCAGAGCAAGGACACACACACAGAGACACATATATACACACGTGAATCATGCATGTATATATGTACAATATATGTGTACTTTGAACTTGATACACCATTTTTGTCACCATTCACCTTGCACAGTACCTGACTACACTCCATGCTCAGTGGCTGTCTCTGATGACCTGTCACTAATATAGAATCCCACGCTACAGTGGGAGAAAGGAGTAAGGTACATTCTCCGCTGAGATGGACACAGGATTTGAGGTATTAAACAGCTTGATGGCTCCGACAGTCATATAAAGATAAATAACATTGAATTCGTGCCCTTTAAGGCTTAAAGGGACTGTACTGCTGAAGTAGCTCACTCTCCATCAATAGAGCTATGAAATGGACTAAAGAAGATGTCTGAATGGGGAATAAATACAATCCTGTGTTAGGCTGAATCCTGCTGCAGAGAAAAGGTTGCTATACTAACCTCCTCTTTATAATAAAAGTAATCCATGTTCATAGTTGAAAAAAACAAACAAACATTGCTTGCTTTTTTTTTTTAGTTCTGTTAGCCCTTTGGCCATTATTCTAAGTAATATATCTATTTCTGGATATATCAACTTCAGATGGTACCTAATGATTTCTGATATGAACAATGTGAGATAAGGTATTTAATATACTATCACCTCCCCTCTCCTTACAATTTTCATTAGTTCCATTATTACCTTTACTGCCTCCAGTGAGTATTTATAACTTTAAGTACACTTAATCTATTTCTTGATTAATCAACTTCTGACAGTATCTTTTCTCTTATACTTTGTCAAAAGAGGAAACTCACCCATCTACCCTTCCCCCACCTGCTCTCCCTCTATTACATACTCTGTACAGCCCTACCTTTCTTTCCACATAGCCAAGGTTTAAAATATTTATATTCTGTTCAGTAATTATTAATGAGTCATTCTCATGAATATTAATTAATAATTTAATTTCTGGAATTGCGAATAGGCCGATTAGAAAAATTATAAGGCAGTAACAGAATTTATAATACTATAGCAACATAAATATTAGTCAGTAAAGAAGTGGGACTGGACGGGCCTATACAGAAGGGAATGTCACTAAACCTGAATGAAAGTGACTGTTTCTGGCATTTAGATCAAATGGATTCTCAGTCTTAATTTCATCAGGCCACAGCTTAATCTATCTCAAGTCAAGGCTATGCTTTTCCTAAAAAAATCTTCAACACAACATGCATTTAATGTATATAAAAATGCATCTGTAGATAAAAATGTGTATATATATACAGTTTTAAAAAGTTAAACTGGCTTTACTGTGAAAACCCCTTCCCGGTCAGGCAATGGGGTACTGCCAAGAAACAACCCAGAAGTCTCTGAGCCTGGTCCTCGGCCTGCCCTCCACACTTGCCATCTAGTAAAGGAATTTTGTGTTAATCATTCTCTTTCTCTTCTTGATAGTTTTACCACCCATAGGTTTATTACTAAATATTCTTCAGTTTTTTTCCTGATTGTGAAATTTATATGACTGGAATCATACTGTATGCATTCTTCTGAGGCTTTTCTGTCACTCGATATGTTTTTTAGATCCAGCCACCATATGTATGTAGCTTTGGTCTAGTCATCTTCACTGCTGTGCACTTCATAAAAAAAAATCTATCGTGATTTTCTTATTCATTCTACTCCTGGTGGACACTTAGGATTTTTTCCATTATGATTGACACAATCACTAATATTCATGAACGTTATTTCTCATGTACATGTTAGGGCTTATACATGTCCAACCTTACCAGAGAATCTTGAACTGGCTTCCAAATTCACTTAAGATCAAACTTTAAGATTTTCTAATTTAATAATGCAAAGTACAATTTCAGTGTAGTGTTTGCATTTCTCTGAGTACTAGTGAGGTAGATATTTTATACTTGCTTTTCTGTGACGTTGCTTTTCATTTCTTAAAAAACAGTTTTGTAATTTTTTTTAACTCATAGAAGCACTGTATTGTCTTGATACAAATCTTCTGACACATGCGTGCGCGTGCACACACACGTGCACACACACACACACACACACACACACACACACACCTCAAATAACTTTTCCCAGTGTGAATATTTTTACTCTTTTTCTGGTATCTGTGGATGATTATAAGTTCTCCATTTTCATGTATGTGAATTTATCAATATTTTTCTTGGATACTTTTTTGTGTTTAAGAAACACACCAGAAAGATGTTCTATATTGTGTTTTGAAAATGTATAATTTTACTGTTCACATTTAGGTCTTTACAAGTGCCTGGAATAGTGTTTGTATGTGCTATGGGGTAGTTAACTTTATTTTACTTGTTATAGATAACCAATTATTCCGGTAATATCTATTAAGAAGCCCACTGTTTCTCCATTGGCCTACATTATCAGCTCTGTCATGAATCCAGTTTTCATATATTTGTGAGTCTGTTTTTAGGTCCTATATTCTCTTCTATTGCTCAATTTGCCTATTACTGTCTGCATTACTTAACTAAAAATATTTACTTATTAATTTTTAATATTGGTGAGGCAAGGCTCCAACCTTGTTTTTCTTCAGGAGTGTCTGAGCTATTTTTGGCCCTTTGTTCTATGAAATAAATTTGAGAATCACCTTGTCAATTTCCATGTACACAAAAGTGAAGTTATAATTTCACTGTCAGCTGGCTCCCACTGCTGCTGTTGAGAAGTCAACTGGAAGTTTAATTGGTGCTTCTTTGAAGGTGTTAAAGGGTATTTTAAGAATTTTTTTCTGTATCTGTGTGGTTTGTAGATTAGCTGTAATACGTCGAGTGTGGGCTTTTTTATATATCCTGCTTGATATTTATTGGGTTTCTTGAATTTGTGGGTTTGTATCTCAAGTCTAAAAGAAATTTCCAGTATTAGCTTCCTTAAATCTGTGAAATCATCTCACTTTATCACCCATGTTTCTTAACTTCTATTTCATAGTTTTCATTTCTGTCTCTCTAGGCTGAATTCTAGATAATTTCTTAATTTCAATTTCCCAGTGCATTTTTTCCCCCAGCTATGGCTAATCTGCTGTTTAACCTTATCAAGAAAATTTTAATTTGTTATTATTTTTTCATTTCTAGAGGTTTCTGATTAGTACTTCTTAAATCTCCTTGTTTTTAACCATATTCTCAATCCTCTTATTTCTGGAAGTTAAAGTAATCATTCTTACTTTATACTCTGGGCTTATTTTATATTTCAATATCTGAAGTCCTTACCAGTCTTTCTAATTCTCTGCTGTCTGTTGTTTTTCCTTGCTCTTGCTCATGTTTGATAATGAGTTACTCATTTCCCTTGGAATTATAGTTCTAATATTATTTATTCTTCTCCATTTTCTTTTTCTGGTATTCCTATTAGCTGGATTTTCTCCTTTCCATGCTGATTGATCTTCCATATATCCTAACTTCCTTTCATATTTTTCATTTGTCTTTTGCTTTATATATAGAAAAAATGTTTTCAACCTTATATTTCAGATTTTAGAATTCAGCTATTACTTATCATTTCCATTTATTTATTTTATTTTGTTGGCCATACTTTTAATTCTCAAGTGCTCATTTGCTCTGCAACTGCTTCTTTTTCATACCAATCTGTCTCTTTTAATTTAATACAAATAATTCCAAATGTTTCTGAAGATGGTAATTACAGTTGAAAATTTTTTCTTCTGTTCCTTGAATTAAGTAGATTTCCTCTGGAGTCAGTCTTTCTCTTTGGTGCTCACTGGTTATATATTCATATTTTTGAATGATAACAGGTTGGTTAACAAAGGTATTTGGTGTGGATTTCCTGTATTAGTAAATTGATCTATTTTCCTAATACACATCTCCTTTGTAGGGAAGGGCTGATTTAGAGCTCTTTGTAAGTAGACAGGGTGTGTTAACTAGACGACTTCACTTAGCTTTCAGAAGAGAGGGCTCAAAACAAGCTGGGGGAAGGCAGACCCAAGGGAAACTGTGGGGTCTGAGAGTGTTCTATTTCTTGCTCTAAGATCTGGCTCTATGACTCTTAATAACTTTGTGAAAATTTATTGAACTGTACTCATAATTTGTACACTTTTCTGTATGTATATATCAATAAAATGTTTACTTTAAAAAAAAAAAAAGGCAAGCTGAGAGCCCTGGCCCTCTCACCCTACTCCCCCACCTCAACAAAAACAGGAAGTACTTTACTCTGGGTGTGTAGCCTTTTTATTTCCTTCTTGAAAAAAGTTACCTCTCTTCTACCACTCATATATGTTTGTTTTTAAGGTCTGGTATTATCTCAAAATCTATTCTGTTTCTCTCTTAGGTATCAGCTCCCAAGTAGGACTTCTGGTCAACTATTCATTTTCTTAGCAAGCATTATGTTTTTTGGTGTTTGGGTTTTTGGGAGTGGGGTGTGGGGGAGGGTAGGAAAACCAGGCTGAAAGCTCTATATGAGAACCAGCTAGGATGGGGATGGAGGGGCCATAGGTGAAAGAAAGGCCCAGGTGCCCCATCACTGCCTGCACTCCATGCCTCTTCTCTGTGGGGTTGAGTAGAAATCTAAAGTCCTTCTTGGAGCTTCCAAGGATGGCTCCCACCACTAGAGCTAGTTTCTGTTTGTTTCATTATTTTCTTTTTCGGAGTCATGACCTTCCCTGCTAAGAATTATTTAATAGGAGATCCTATATACTCTCTGTTTTCCAGAAACTCAACCCAATTTCTGGTTTGTTGGTGAATCCCTTTTTGTTGTTCTCAGTTCTATAATAGATTTATTTCCATTACCACAGCTTTATGGTTATTTAAATGGAGGATCTGAAGGGAGGGGAAGAAGTGCTTATGCTCAGTCTGCTACTTGAACAGGATATTCTCAAAACTTTAATAAAATGGAGACATACATCACCTATTTTAATATTTACGTTTCTCAATGCTTTGTAAGCTTCTATTTTATAATATTAAACTAAATTAACCAGTAATTTAAAAACTAACTAAAGTATCTTTTAAAAGATTTGGATGAAAAATAATTTTCTGTTTAATTTACACACTTTTCTTTTAGTGTCTCTATAACATAGTTTTCTAATTTCACAAAGGAAAAATAGGACTGACCTAAAGAAGTGAAAACTAGTTCATCAATCCACACTACACATCTGGTGTTTGATTTCTCTAGAGTTCCGTTTTCTTCTATTTCCTACATATTTACTAGAGTCATAATTCCAAAAATTGTAATGATTCCAAACCCAACACAAGAAACAACACGGGAAAAACACTGGTTGGATCAGCTCTCTTAAAGTTTCAAATGTGCTGATACATGGTATATAAAACTGAAAACAACAAAAGAACAAGAAAAACAAATAAAGAATCAAAACCTATAGACACAGACAATAATTTAGTGGTTACCAGGGGGTAAGGGGGTGACAGTTGAGGGTAAAGGGGGTCAAATATATGGTGATGGAAAGAGAACTGACTGTCTGGGTGGTGAGCACACAATATGATATATAGATGATGAATTACAGAATTGAACACCTGAAATCTATGTAATTTGCTAACAATTGTCACCCCAATTAAAAAATATATGCTATAATCTACAAGAATGCTCAGATGTTTAAACAGTGACATTACCTTTACATAGATATGCTTGGCTTTTGGGAAAAGATTTATTTAAAAAGCCAAAAAACAAAAAACAAAAAAACAAAACAAAAAAACCTTCCCACAGAAAAGAGAAAGACAATCACAGATTTCTGCAGGGGATGAAATGCCACAGGGCTTTATACCACAAGGCAGGTGCCGCCTCACATTCCACAGAAGATGGGTCTGCTTTTACATAATCTACATTGCAGTGTAAGCATGTGAATGTTATGGCATGCTGTCAAAGTATGCCAGATGCTTACAAAAATCACAGAATATAGTTCTTGGACAAGAATTCAATCTCACACTGAAGTGAGAGAAGCCAACTTTCTTGAGGTCAAGGTAATGGGGTGGAAAGTCTGCTGTCTTGGGGCAGAGATGCCCAAATTCCAATCCTAGCTGTCATTTTTTAGCCATGTGACCTTAGGCTACTTATTAACCTCAGAATCTCATTTTCAGCATGTGCAAAATATGGACGATAATGCCTACCTTACCCAGCTATTATTGGAATTAAGTGAAATAACATACACCAAGGTGCTGGCACGTGGAAGAGACTCAACAGCTATTTCCTTTGTTCTTTCTGTTAAAAAACTCCAAGCTGAGAGAACGTACATTTATTCACCTATTATAAACTCCCATTACCCTGAGCTGTTTCAATTCAAATGGAAAGGAACAATGAGTAAAGTAAGAGCAATTTTTCAGTATGCTCTAGTCTTTACATATGATGCTGACGCTGAATACCTCATGGACTTAACCATGCATTTCTTCTGATTCCTTTTCACACTACTGAATTTATTATTTTCTTTAGATTTCAAGTCCCCTGGCGTTTCTGCTCTTCACTGGTGCCTGTGCTCACAGCAAATTCCAACAGAGAGTGAGATGATGAAGTGATATTGCCAATGCATCATTATACCATCGTCCCCCTACCCTGACCTTTCTCTAGCTGTGCATGAAACGTCTGGGGCTTCCTAACACATTTGTCTGGATGTCTTTTCTCCTCAACCCTTCTGCCCACACAGATGCTCAGTGGGTAAAGATGCCTCAGTTCCGAAGACACGCTGACTAGTGCGGAGTGATTTTCATGTTCAAACACAGCTTTGTAATTGGCAAAGGGTACTCTCAGCTGATGGGCTGGTCATAGACTAACAAAGCCAGGCTTGTGGATATCTTTCCTGACATGAATGGGGTAGCTTATGCATTTTTAATGCTCAAGGACCATTAATACCAATTAGTAGTGCCAACAAAAAGAATTAAAACACTATATCATGGAATGATAACATCCTCTCTTTGACGATGAAGTCTGCGTGTTTTATTAGCCACTAGATTCAATAAAAAATCCCTTCCTAGACACTTCAGTCTGTCTGTCTCTGGAAGAGGGCATGGTTTCTCTATGGATGCTAAGGCCATTCATATTGAGGTCTTCAGATTGGTTCTCTTCACTCTTTTTTTTTTTTCAATTTAGATAACTCATTAATTGCCTTTAAAAAGTTTTTCTTTTCCACATATACCAAAGACCAAGTATTGTAAAGTATGATGTCCCTTCCTCCTGGGATTGCTTTGAAATTCACCATTTTATGTTTCGGCCCTCCTTCCCTTGAATAAAGCTGGAGGAACACTCATGGTCACCATGAATTTTATTCATCTGGGCAAGAACTGAACAAATGGCTCTCTTTCCTCCCACTTGATTTTGTTTTTAAGTGAAATTGTTTTAAACCAACTATCTATTGCATGCATCTCCCCTCTTTGTCCCTTCCATCCCCCACATATAAAGCTGTAGAGAGAAGCTTTTCTTACTTGGATTATTGTGTCCGGAGGAAACGAGCTGAGAGTCCTAAAAGAACAAGAAATATCAATTAATTTTCTTACTTTGACTGTCAAAATCCAAGTTGAATGTGGGATATATTACTGGTCATTCAGAACCTAATCCCTGATCATAATCTCCACTAGCTACTGTAATGAGAAACTTTTACACGAATGTGCCCAACCAACAGCTCTGGTAATATCGCTCATAACCACTTCTCTTTTGTATTATGGACTTGTTGTTTGTTTTGTTTATTGAGGTGACATTCACATGACATATGATTAGCCACTTTAAAGTGAATGATTCAGTGGTATTTTAGTATATTCACAGTGTTGTACAATCACCACCTCTATTTAGTTGCAAAATATTTCGACCGTTCCAAAGTAAAGGTCCTTATCCATGAAGCAGTGTCTCCCCATTCCCTGCTCCCTCCCCTCAGTCCCTGACAACCACTAATCTGCATCCTGTCCCTATGAATTTATCCATTCTGGATATTTCATAGCAGCAGAATCATAAACTACGTGGCCTTCTTTAACTTAGCATGTTTTAGAGGTTCATCCATGTCGTACCATGTATCAAAACTTCATTTTTATGACCGAATACTATTCCATTGTGTGTATACACAACAGTTGGTGTATCCATCCATTCATGGACATCTGGGCTGCTTCCACCTTTTGGCGACTGTGAACAGTGCTGCCATGAACACACGTGCACATGTACTTGTTTGAGTCCTTGCTTTCAGTGCTTTCAGGTAGGAGTGAAATTGCGAGGTCACATAGTAATTTTATGTTAAACTTTCTGAGGAACTGCTAAACTGTTTTCTACAGTGGCTGAATCATTTTGCATCCCTACTAGCATTGTACGAGTGTTCCAATTTCTCCACATCCTCACCAACATTTGTTATTTTCTGTCTTTTAGTTTAAAAAAATTTTATGATAGCCATCCTAGTGGATGTGAAGTGGTTTCTCATTGTGGTTTTAATTTGTATTTCCCTAATGACTAAGGATACTGAACATGTTTTTTCTTTTCAACTATGACTCTTGAAAAAAAAAAACAGACGAAGCATCTTTATTGAGGTATACATGATATAACATAAGCTGCACATATTTAAAGTACACAGTTTGATAATAAGCATCATTAAAAGAATGTTACTATGATTGTCTTGACTCAAGCATGGCTCCATCTTACTAAGTAGCACCTACTATTCAAACAAAGAAAAGTAGTATCTATTCATTAAAATTTAGAGAAACAGGAAAGTATAAAAAAGTTGTCTGTAATCCCATTTCTAAGGTTAATGTGTGGCTTTTGGTCTCCCAGTGTGATCCATGAAGTGTGTTTCACCCTGACAATTATGAGAACCAATGGGAGAACCACCACTTCTGGTTACTTAGCAGAATATTTACAGATAGGAGTTTATTCTTCTCCATCTTTAAATCCTGAATTCCCCTAAGCCTAAACTCTTGTTTGGTGGATGGGAATCCTTAAACTTCTTAATATGTGGTTGATTTAGCTGGGAATTAAAGTTTGTCTAAATCATTTTGTCAAAGACAGAAACAACTAAGTTCACTGGTATCTGAGAAAGCCCTTCTATGAAGTAACATAGCAAATACTGTATTTCATCAAATGTAACATGCCGTCAAAATTGTATGAGGCTGCATTATCTCATGTACTACTAGGAAGGATAATTGCTACCAATTGATTGTAAGATGCCAGCAACTATAAAACAAATCCTGATTTTAGGGAACTTAAAATGTGAAAAAATATGCTCCTTAGGTCAATAAAATACAGCCGTTCTTAAGCTATGGTGTTGAACAGAAGATGGCACTTCTACTGTGAGGGTGTTACTTAAAAATGGCTTTTTAGAACCATTTGAGGACTGGACCACTCATACCTCTCCTTGTTTGCCTACCCATCCATCCTTAGAACTATAAAAGGCAAGAAATAGAAATAAATCTTCTCTTAATTTCAGACCCCGCATCTAGCTGATTACTATAGAAAAAAAAAAAAAGAACCACTTAATTTGTATGGTTTCCCTTCACCCCCACAATCACTTTCTTCTGAATCTTTTTCTGTAAAGCTCAAAACAGCTGAAATAATACAATTTATAATTAATTTCAATGTTTCTTTTGGGGCAATGCTCAACATGAAGATTCAGTCCAAATGTTTGGTGGTATTTTTTGAGCATGCTAGCAATCCAAAGAGGGAGGTAAACTTCCCAACTTCAAAGCACCTCTCCTCTCACCTGCTGGCTTTCATGCTCCTTCTAGGGCACAAAGAGAAAGGCAAGAGGATTCTTTCCCATAATGATACTAGAATTCTTCTGTATGCTTTAAAATCAATCAGCAAGAATAGTTTCAGACCAGGTCTGATCCCACCAGATTGAGAGTCCATTGTCACGTGAAATATTTGTGAGATGCCATTCAGTTTGCCTGTATGCCTTCTGAGGATGGCAAAAGTTCTACCATCTTGAGTTCTTTATTTGCCATTTCAAAACTCATGAGATTGCTACAGAAATGAAAAGAAAAGGGCAAAGCAAATTCTTTTTTTGTTTGTTTGTTGTTGGAATACATGATAATGGCAACCAATTTAAAGGAGTTATGCCTTCTTTTCTTACCAAATTCAATTACTTTTGAGATTTGAAGAATGAGGCAGTCATAGCTGGTCGTATCTGTCTAGCGAACAGTGACTCCAAATTAAGTCTTCAGAGAATAGAAAAAAATATCCAAGTTCAGTAACAATTGACTTTGCTATATATTATGTCCTTCAATACCCAGACAAATTGGGGAAATTCTCGGAAGTATTTAGCTAATTAATTTAGTGGTACTGGCAACTCAGATTGCGCAGTTAAATCGACTTTCCTTGTGAGGTCAAATTGCCCCTTTAATCTTAATAAGGGCTTAATTTCATTATTTATTAGTCATCTAGGAGATGTTGCCCCTCGGATTCCATAAACAAATCTAGCTCCTAAACACTAGCAATAGAGTGATAATCTTAAACGTTAATAATCTAATTAAGGAACGGTGAGCCTCCAGGTGTCAGAATACTAATTAGATAAGATACAGGTTGAAAGAAGTACACTGTGTGTCAAAATTAATGACAATCTTTGTAGTAGGCAGGATAAGAGCCCCCAAAGACGTCCCTATCCTCATTCCTGGACCCTGTGAAAATTAACTCTCATGGCAAAAAAGGCTTTGCAGATGTGATTAAGTTAATGCTTTTGAGATGGGAGATTATCCTGGATTATCTAGGTAGGCCCAATGTGATTACAAAGGTCCTTATAAGGAAAAGGAGGCAGCAGAGTCAGAGATGTGACAAGGAAGTGAGCAGTCAGAGTGATAGGTAACAAGGGCAGCCTCCAGAAGGTGAGAAAGGCAAGAAAAGGAGTTCTCCCCTAGAGCCCTCAGAAGGAACACAGCCCTGCCAACACCTTGATTTCAGCCCTGTGAAAATGATGTTAGATCTCTGACGTCCAGAGTTGTAAAATAATAAATTTGTGTTGTCTTCACTCATTAAGTTTGTGGTAATCTGTTACAGCAAAAATAAGGCACTCATGCAGCCTTACTTCACTTGTACAAATTACTTGCTGGGAGCTTTTTGAAAGAAAAGCATTATTAAAATCATGCAATTATTCCTACATTTGGTAAAATTATTTATTCTTTCTTTCTTGGGCAAGGCAAAAAGATCTAGAGGTGAAATAGCTCCATACAAATCATACAGAAGTCCTAACAAAGACATTTTTCATTTAAATTTGAAATTCTGTGCCCTATATGATAGTTAATATTGTAACTTTTGGGGTGGAAAATAAGATACTTGTAACTTTCTTTCTGCCTTGAAAAACGAGCTTTTATACTAATGATCTAAGGATGTGAACATCATCTCAGGAGTTAAGTTATTGCTTAAACTTAACTATTTACATTCAGCAAAACAAATCTGCACAATCCTTTTTAAAAAGTCACAATCAAATATGTGTTGGAATTTATACTCAATTATATCAGAATATGTACTTATACCATGGATATGTTTACAGAACAAAAATGCTTACCTGATTGTACTTTGGGTTAAACCACTATTTTTGCCAGCTTATATACACAAATCATAAGGATTATTGCATTGTATTTTAAGTGTGGGATACCATCAAAAAGCTTCGAATACAAAAGTGATGAGATGATTTACATATTAAAACGATTTAAACGCTGCTGTGTGAAGAACAGGCTGTGTATTAGGGGCTAGGGTGAATGGCTGTAGAACTGTTATCGTCCAGGTTAGAAGTGATGATGGTTGGAATAGAATGGTAGGTGGAGGAAGTGTGGAAACAGGGGGACCAGTTAGGAAGCTATTGCAGTAATTTATGTAAGAGGTGATGGTGGTTTAGACCAAGGTGGTAGTGTGACAGTGGGGAGGGGGGCATTTAGACTCAGGGTATATTATGAAAGCAGGATAGACATGGTTTCATGATGGGTGGGATGTGTAATATGAGGAAAGAGTCAAGGATGATATACTGGGTTGAATAGTGTTCCCCACAAGCTCATGTCCACTTGGAATCTGTAAATTTGACCTTATATGGATATAGGGTCTTTGCAGGCCATACCAGATTACAGTAGGCATTCCATCCAACAACTGCTGTCCTTGCAAGAGAAGGGAGATTTGGACACAGAGACACACAGAGGGAAGACAGTGATGTGAATGTAGTGGCAGAAATCGGAGTGATGCAGCTATACGCCAAGGAATGTGACAGTCACCAGAAGCTGGAAGAGGCCAGGAAGGATTCTACCCTAGAGCTTTCAGAGGGGGCATGGCCCTGCTGACACCCTGACCTCAGACTTCTAGCCTCCAGAACTGTAAGAGAATAAATTTATTTTTAAGCTACTGGTTTATGTACTTTGTCACAGGTGCCCTACAAAACAAATATAGATGGCTCCAAGGTTGGTGGCCTGAGCCAACTGCAAAGATGGAGGGGTTCCTTACCGAGGAACACAGATAGGTCTGTGGGGGGATAAAAAGCTCAGCTTTTGATATGACCAACTGGAGAT